ATTTAGGAGTTTGGCAACATGTGTTAGCACTCTGGCCACACAGGATTTACTCCATGAGGTCAAGCTGTTTCATTTAACTTTCAACAGCGACAAAATCGAGTAAGAAATACTGTGCCTGAAAACTTACCAGCTTTCAGTTTTAACAACTGGCAGAATAAAGCTATTGCCTCCTCTTGCAAACTTAGCTTCTCTAATATCCTCAGACCATCAGGGCTACAAGAGCTCTATACCAAGGGCTTGATAATTCTGACAAGGTKCCAGGGCAGCTGTTCAGTGCTGCACAGGAGAATGATTTCTCTCCTGATCCCTCTGGATATTTAACCAAGCCGCACCTCTGCGCCATTGAAGGTTTGCTCACAGCTAGCTGTGCAAGGAAGAATTCAGYGACCTTCAGGATATTAATAGATCCAAAGTGTCTTTGCTCCTGGGGAGYGGGCAAGGGACTCGTCACCATTTATGAACTGCAATTATTCTCCCACTCGGCAGAAAGGACTTAGCGGGGTAGATCCTATGACAATTACCAGGACATGAGCAGTGGCCGTGACCTGGGCATTTCTAACCGGGCCAGACAGGAGCGAGTGTCCTGGTGTTCCGCTGCCTCCTTCCCTCCGTCTCCGTGTCTCCGAGTGATGCTGAGCCTCCCATCCATGGCGTGGGGTTGCCAAGCAACATTTGTAGTGTCCCTCAGTGGGCAGCYGGGTACCGCTCTGTGGCAGCTGAGACTTTGAAGATAAGTGTTTGTTGTGAAGAATGGAATAACCTTCCCTTTCTCTTTCTCCCTCCTCTCTTCCTACTTGATGAGGTGAAAAATGAATCATTCTGAATATGACAGATCAAACCCTGCACACAGTCGCTCTAGGGTAAATCTCATTGAAAATTGTCTTTGGGGAATGAATTCACAGCTAGATGCCAAGGACTGGATATGCATATGCTGCACACACATCCAGCATCCAGCTAACGTTCCCACAGCACACACGGTGGAGGAAGCRGCCAGAACTGGTCAAATCATAGATAGAATTATTGGCAAATAATTTATTCAACTACAGTCAGGAAAGAATAAACGTTATCCATCATCCTCTCAAATATGACTCAACCAATTCCTGTAAATAACGTAGCTAAAGCCTCTTGCTCCGAGCTGTGAACTCTAAGATTTAAATTCTTATTTAATTCTAGGGCTATTTCCCTCCTGTTATTATGTTCAGCAGTGTGCTGCTGCTGTCCGTGTGCCAATGAYACAAGGTTAGAAGGCTTACACAGTTCAAAATGTTCTCTCCGCATCAGTAAAGCCAAAAGCACAAAGCAGCCCTCACACCCGAGAGCAGGCCGGCCATCTGGCGCAGAGGCTGCMGCGCGCGCTCCGCACCCTGGGCCCCTGGCATCTGCCCACCGGCCACSGGGGATGTCTCTGCTGTGATCCTGGGCTCCTTTGGGGCCCTTTTGGACCCAAACYGCCAGCACTGACTGCGTTCAGCTCTGGAGGGGTAGCTGATCCTGGTGGGGAAGCAGAACCCTGCATGGGAGAGGCTGTAGATGAGGTGRGCACATGCTGAGGTGTGTTGACATACAGGTGTGTGAGGGAGTAAAATAAATGCAAAAATCAGTGTATTTTCTCTGGTACAATCCCAGGTGTTTAAGCAAAATAATGCCCTACATGTATGATTTGGATACTATTGGGGGGTGGGATTAAAGCTAGCTGTCCAGCCCAAGCTGCTTTTCTAGCTTCTCACAACAATTAATGGAAAAAGCATCTCCACAAAGAATCCTTTCCATGAAACTTAGATACTTCTCCTTGGGAAAGGATATAGACCCTCTCTATAATGACTCGCTCTGTATAATTTGGACTAGATACTTAAATTTCAGAAGGCTTAATTTACTGGAAACAAAGCCCAGCCTTTATGATTTATTTTCCAACCAGTGTACACCTATCTTAACAGTGGTTTCATATATGCTATATTTCCTTAGCTCCTTAAAAAAAAAAGTCATGTCAGACAGTATTGAAAGCCTTCCTAAAGTAAAAACATGCATTCCTTCTGCCTTATCCTGTAAACTAGAGAGTCAATAAAGGAAGGAAATTAAATCACTTTTACAAATCCATGTCATGTTTTTTGCTGTTCTCTTATCCTATAGCTGCTAATGAATTGATTGTTTCATAATTTGTTGAGGTTTCTCTCCAGGCATTTGCCTTAGGTGGCTGATCTACAGTTTTCTGGGTTCTCCTGTCCCCCCCTCTCCACAAATACCCTGTTTGCCCTTCTCTAGACTGTAGAACCCTCCCAAAACAAAATAAACTCTTGAAGTCCATTCCTAACTGTTCAAAGATTGCATTGGCTGGGAATTCCCTTGGGTTCAACAATTTGAGTTCCCTTATATTCAGTGTAAATATTCTTTAATTTGCACCCCTTTGTTCTGGCCCCGTCCCATCCCTGCTGTTGCTATGTAACTAGTAGCAACTGTTTTGGTGGTAGGTGAATTTTAAAAGGCAACAACTATTCCAACCCTCTGCATGACCTCTTATGTGTTTTACTTTTGTGGTATAAAATGCATGCTTTAATTCCTTTTAACATAATTATAGGATTTCTTTCTCTTGCATTGCATGYTCCCAGTCACAAACAACTCATTGGGGGCCAAGACTTTTCTGATTCCATCTACACCTGCCTTGTCTCATTCTGCTATGTTCCTCACCACAGTCTTCTGCTTCAACTTTTTAAGCCATTCTTTTTGAGGCATAATGAGTTCCTCGTACACTTTTAGTTATATTACATTTCCTCCATTCTTGTCCTTGCCTCAGGATATCTTGCAGCTCTGCTCTAGTCTCTATCTGTCAATGCTTGTTGGCCTAATTCTTCTTTCCTTGACCCAACCTATCAATTCCCTAATGCTTCACAGTCAATTAATCTTAATTCTGCTGTTTCGACTTTCTCTTTTCCATATGTCTGGGAAGCCGATTAATTTATAGCTTGGTATTATGTATTAAGGTTTTACATTTTTCCTGTTTAGCCCTTACACTGCCGGACTTGTGCAGAGAGCTTCCAGTTGTTTACCAGGCAAATCCATTATTCTCCCAAGTCTCTCTTCTTCACCATTATTAAATGTCCCATTTTCCCAGCTCTCCCACCAATACATTGGTTCATTCTTGGAAGACCATCCTGTTGTCAAAGGATACAAAGCCTTTCTGCCTGCCCTGTGTGCTCACCTCAAAGACTTGCCCACCCCATCTGTGCCACCTTCTGCATAAACCAAAGGAAACACAATTGCCCCAGGAAGGAGGCAGAAATGATCACAGAGATTCACAGTATTTTCCCGTTTCAGCAATAACAGATACACAGAGAAAGCTCCTTGGGGTAAGGATGGAATTTGAATGACCATGCTCAGAACTAATATCAGGATGCAATTCCTCTCCTACCCGCCTTCTAAGAAGATTTCATGTATCAAATTCTGGTCATTTAAGCCTCATGGTGATCCCTTTCACCAGTAAACAGTATTAGTAGCCCCATTTTATAGATGAGGAAGCAAACATACAAAAGCTAAGTAGCTTTTTGAGGACTTTTTCTTTTGGCAAGGTTGGGGAACTACTTCAGATGTGCACTCAAACTGCCAGGGCACACACCAAAAACCATTCACACCGACTTAGCCATGCACTTGGAAGCACATTTAGCAGCAAGGAGGCAAGAGAGAGGGTTGWGAGTGCAATTGCACCAGCTGGTGAGGATTCAGCAGGACCCAGCCTTGGTGCCCAGAGCTCAGTTAGCCCAAGGTAACCGAGGAAACTGTTTTCTGGGACTGGAATTATTTCCAGGGAATCCAATGCATGGTTGTTTAAGTGGTAGATTTGTCTTCCTCTCTTGCTGGTCTCTGTGTGGCTACAAACAGCTCAATCARTGGCTAACAAAGCTCATGAGGCCAATAACCGCCTTGCCATCTTGTTACAGGCCCTCACAGAGCAGGACACTTCTTTCTGCCTCCTCCTTCCTCTATCACTCCCTCCTTTTCATCTCTTTCATTTCTCTCCATTCCACTCTTTAAAGTGTAATAAAAGCACGGAAAATAGCCACACACTGCTGCACCAACAATAATATGCCACGGATCCTCCAAAACCTGAGAAAATGAGTCCACAGAGAGGAAACCAAAGGCCAGCAATGGCACAGGCTTGAACATCAYGAAAAGCACTCTCAAAATACAGCACTGAACACACAATGCGGCGCTGAGGATACAGACTTGGCTGCCGTTTATGGAGTGGGGAATACAGTGGCAGATTTATTCTATAGCAGAGAGAGTTGTTTCTTGGTAGTGTTAATACTGACACACTACCAGGGGATGGAAAAAGCGAATACAAACAGGAACAATTCTCCCATTGCTCTGCCTGTCTCCTCCAAGTGCCCCCTATTCCTGTTCCTCTCTGTTCTCTTTATCTATTTCCTGACACTGTGAACCCTCCTTCCTCTCTCCTGATTTAGTTCTTGTTCCCCCTTTAATTTTGCCTTCCCTTTCACCCTTTCCTGCTGTGATTGCTTGGTCTGAGTCTCTAGTTCTCCAAGCTTTTGCCTGGTGTCTGCARAGACTTCTGCCTCTCAGCCCAGCTGGCTGTCCTGCCCAGCTAACCGTACGAGAGCTGTCACACACCGGCCTGTCCTGCTCTCCCTGCARTCAGCGTGGAAACTTCCACTGCACTCACCGGTGTGAGGACAAGGCCACGGGACAGGCCAGGCTGATTAACAACTAGCTAACAGAGACTGTTTAAGTTATCCATCATTGTTAAAAGAGAAACAGTCTAAAAAAGCATCACCATTACTGTACCTCATTGAGGYGGTGAGTAGTGATGACAAGAGCCACGCTCCTTCACAAGCAGCAACTCTCAGCTGGCAGTAGCTGAGATCAGTACGGAACAAACACTTACATTATTTTACACCCATTTCTTTCCCTCCCCATTCCTCACCCTACAGTGAGGAATCTGAGCCCTGTTCCCATGCTACGCAGTGACCGAGGCCGGGAGCTGAGGCTACCTGACTTGTCCAAGCACACGCAGGGAATCTGGGCAGAGCAGGAAACACAATCCGAGTCCTGAGCCAGCTGCCAGGCAGTCACCCACTCACACTTTCTGCCTCTAAGTGACAGATGGGGGCAATCATCTTGTTCAAGGACAGATAAGACAGCAGAAATCACCAGCACCTGCCTGCCTGCTCCAAGGCAGAGGGGAGCAAGCAGTGGAGAGGAGCTGCTCTCTCCTCTCCCTGCTTCCTTCAAAAACAACTCAGTGCATGGTTGTTTATTGTTATTATTATAATGGTTATTTTCCAGAGTGCTGTAAAACCAGGGGACAGAGCAGCTCGACAGCCTCATAACAAACAGCAGATAGAAATAATTAGATTTTGCCCTTCCTTCAGTTTGCTGACTTCATTCTTTTTTATTTTTTACTGTTTAATTATTTAGCTTTAGGCCAAGGGCTTACACATGCGTGTGGTATTTCACTGGCAAGGCATCCATAGGATCTCCTGGGCTGGGAAAGGGCGAGTGCGGCCCGGCCGGCCGGCGGAGCGGGCGGGAGGAGACAGAGGGAGCAGTGTGAGCCCCGCTCCTCTACCCATGTCATGTAAAGCCGGGAGGAGGGAGGAAGGAGAGCACCGCTATTCACAGCACCAAGAGAGCCAGGGAGACAAAAGGCATCAGTAAAAAAAGTTAATGTGCCTGGCAGGAAACCAGAACTGCTTTAGCAGCGCGGACCATCCAAGTGCCTCTAGGACACCCTCTCTACTGGGCATTATGGAAATACTTGGCTTGCATCTCAACCTGACAGCCTTGCTGACTCTTGAGGAACGACAACAGTGGGGAGCAGGGAGACTTCCCTCTCCTCCTCCCTTTCGCCATCAGCTGTTTCCAGATTTGGGGGGATTAGGTAGCGAAAGCCAGAAAAGGCTCTGGCCTCCCTGCTCGGTACTTAGCGGGCTGAAGTGAGGTGATGTGCCTCAGTGCGGGGGACAACGGCCCCATTCACTAGGGAAATACCAAACCAGAATTACAAGTGTGCAAGAATAAACAAGGCTGGAGTTAATCTAAAGTTGTTTTACACTCTGTTTTATTAAAGTCAATGCACTTCCGTTCTTCTGTGCAGAGCCTAGTTCTGCTTAATTACCATGACTCAGGGAGAATTTTAATAACGAGAGAGCAGGGCCGATGGAGGCCCTCGCCTGACCTCTAGAGGCCTGCCAAAAGAAGAAGAGCCTCCGCTTCCTGCAGAAGCTCTGAAAAGATACTGAGAAGTTGACAAAACTGCTTCTGCTCTCGGTTCCTATGTGCCATTCACAGCAAGTTYATCGCTAAACTCTTTTGCTACCTTTTCTCACCTCCCACCTTATCAGTAACAGGTCGCTTACCTTGGGGTGGTGGGCTTGCCTCGCTGTCACCTCCAACAACGTCCTCACTGCTTGCTGACAATCTGGGAGAAACCAGGGAAGGTTCCAAGACTGTCCTTGGCCTGTCTTTCCATATTGCACTGCAGCTTTTGTGCAGGAGTAGTTGCTATGCAGGGACACTTGGGTCCACTCAGCGTTGACAGCACCTTTGCCAGCTCTTTCTACCTCCAATGCCTCCTGACACTGCTCTGAGTTAGGAGGGATCTGAGCTACAGCAGCTCTTAAACATTGGGTTCGTACTTCCATGGAGTCTACATTTACTCCRGTGCAATTCTCTCTCAGTCTACAGATTGAATAAATTGCAATTCAGGCAGAATTTCTCCATTGAACCAAATTCTCCATAGTATAAGAACTTCAAAACAAAGTATCTATAAGGCTGCAACTAGTCCATAATATTTGCAGTCAAATTACAAAGCTGGCATTAAGAAAAATGCTGATTTAAGAAGATTTATTTTCCTTTCTGATAAGAAGATGTACATCAGCCAGGCTGGGTGGGCATCATTCTGCCATTGCTCTGGCAGGGCACTGGTACTCAATGCAGAGAGGGTGGAACGCGCAGGGCTCTGTATGTGCACGTGCACATCTCCACTTACATTCATTTACAGTAGTATTTTCTGCAGCGTGTCCTGGGCCTACGCTGAATCCAGAAGATCCTACAGCAYGGCCTGTGAATGCTGCAGACAGGATCTAGGAGAATGAGGGTGTTTTGTCATGCACATAAATGCTGGATTTTGAAGTTAACTATGCCCATATATCGTTTTTTATTAACAAGCTTTCAAGCAATGTTGTACAAACTATCATAATGAGAACACCTGTTTTACTTCTTTCGTGTCCATTCCTGTGAGCGATTCTTCTAGGAAAATTCAGTATTATGTGCAACAAGCTCCACACCAAAGGCAGCAGAACAGGACATCTGTACAGAACACACACCATAGCTAATGAGTTAGTTCAGATTAAGAAGTTCAGTTTACAAGGACCCAAGCTGCCTGTCATTTGAGCAGCATTATAAAGTGAGAACTAGAGCTGTTGTGTTCTGGCTAAGATGTTAAAACACCTTGTTACTGAAACTTCAGCAGCAGAGGAAGAAACTGTTCCTCCCAAGCACAAGCTCCTGCTGGGAAACTCTATTTAGATAGTCTGGGAGAAAGATGCTTGGCCATATATCAGAACAAATCTCTGTCTTTACCAGAAATTTTCTGCACAGACAGCATACAGATGGCAGGCTGACATGGTACTTTTAGCCACATATTTAAGTAATGATAATAATAATCACTGACAACGATAGCTGTATAACCTGCAAATCTATCACACACTGTATGTTCCTCCTCTTCCTCAAACTTCATAAAGCAAGCAGTGCTAGAGTTGTCAGATTCCTGCAGAATGCAGTTAACTCCATCTAGGTTTAAGGCAATTCCCCACATGCAGTAGCAGGGTCTGGGACACACAGGAATTTCAGGCAACGTGACAAGTGAGACACAGTGATGTGGCCTTCACACTTCAGRACCTCAGGCTCTCTGGGTTGGCTCTCTGTCGGCGCTGAGGTTCAAAAAGCCACATCTCTGCTCCTGTCACCATCCGTGTAAAACTGAGGGCAGGTGAACTCTACTGCTGGTGAGGTTTGGACTGCAAAGACACTGCTATATTGCCTGTTCTCCATGACAGATGATTTTATAGAATCAGGATCTGTGTTTGCAGACAATTTTAGAGAAAAATGTTTTTTTCTATTTGAGGCTCAGAAGGGAAGCTGTTCTGTTCCAGTTCTGTCCCAGTGATCTCTGCATACCCTGCCTGTAATCTCTTCTACTGCACTGCTCTCCAGCATAAATGGCATCCTGTAACCAGGTCTAGTTTTCATCAGTGGCATCATAAAAAAAAAAACAAACAAAGAATAATCTGTCACTGCAGTGATACTTGGGCCAAATTCACTCTTGGATATTGTCACCATCACTAATCCATTGCTGGATACTGAAGGATTCCTGGTTACTTCAAGAGAACATGTTTTCTCCTGGAAACACCCCAAACCCCTCTCACTCCCAATAATAACTCTTTCAATATTAGCTCTAGTTGGTCAGGATGAACTGCTGTATTTGTTCTCTCTTAGCACATCCTGATAGAAGGGTGTCTTACAGTGAAAATATCATTTCACAAGCTCTGTGATACAAATTCTGTACTCRGGTCCAATCGGTTCAAGCATAAAAATACTCAACTAAGATTATGGTGGACTAACTCATTTCAGTGCAGTAAATTTAGCCYAGGTTTCCAGAGATATGTGTACACAGGACATTTTACAGTGACAAGAGAGGATCCCAGGAACAAAATGAATGGCCAGCAGTATTTCCTGACGGCAGTCAGCACAGCACTGATTTTCTGCAGGTGAGGAGCTGCTCTGCACTGTCACTGGTGCACTCCTTGGTAGGACATGGCAGATTTCTCAGACTGATGCCAAGATGTGACTAGCTCAGATGCATATGCAGTGAGATCCGAAGCCTCTTGAAGACACTCGTCAAAATTCTGATCGGACAGTAATCAGACACGTGCTCTACAGCTCAAGAGAAATGAACGGTAACAGAGAGCTCGGACCAAAGGCCTCAGAAAAGTGCCATCCTTCCAGGTGTTGTAGACAAAGGCTGGTGTCCACAGTAAAAGCCTAAATTGGGATGAGGGTCATCATCTCTTCTTTCTTGGCCATTTAGAAGACCATTCCTCTGGATCATGTCTATGTACTAATAAATCACAGGTAGTCACTGAGCTGGGCACTGCGTTTAGGAATGGCCAATATCCTCACGTAGTTCCACCTGGGCCAGCAGCCCCTCACTCCACTTTGTGTACAGACGATGAGGAGTCCTTCTCTCTATATAATGTACATAAATTACACAAACATATAGTCCATTTTCCATGCCGAACAGAAATGACACATTTGGGCAGGATGCTGAAGCCGGCAAAAAGACGAGCACGACACCAACGCATTGGCTTGGCACTGGGCAGGCCAAAGCCTCCTCACGCTGGGCTGCTCTCAAAGCCACTGTACATCCCGAGCGGGACTGACCGCAGCGGGAGAGCGGGATTGCTGTCTGACGGCTGGGTGGAAGGACAGAGCCCTCTGAGAACCTTGGAGCTGCACGTCCGCCCCGTGGTCACCCCCTCGCCTTCCGTCTCTCCTTCCAGCTGCGACAGGCACTCCTGTATCTCTTTGTCTAGCTCCGAAAGGTCCCCTTCACCATCAGAGCAGCTGTCAGTATTATAATCTATTTCTTCCGCACAAGGAGGTTCATCATCAGTCTCCAGGCTGCTGTTGCTGCTGCTTCTGCAGAAAAAAAAACACAAGAAAGAGTCGTTACAAGYCATTAAAAGAGGGTGCTTGTATCTAGTGGGAAGAGCAAGAAATGGGAAATGCATTTCCTGGGTTCAATCCTGGCTCTGCTAATGAGGCATGAGATAACACTAAGCAACATCCTATATGTCTTTGTGTCTGTTTTACCATCTGTAAAATGAAGAAGAATGCTACTACCTACTTCATCGGAGAAACATTTATTATCSTTATTATTATTATTATTGCTATTGCGTATGCAGAAGTGCGGTTCTTTACATACAGACACCACCATTCCTGTCTTGAGGTGCTTACAAGGTTAAAGAAGCTGAAACAGAGCAGAGGGGAAGAGGAAGGTATTTAGCTACCAGAAGGTTCCTGGTTTAATCATTATTCACCTTGCTGAGGTCCCACATGTGATGT